CAGGCCGGAAGGCTCTGACCTCAGAAGGGAGGACTCTCCCCTTTCAGCTGGGAAAGCTCCCAGGGCACAGGGCTTGAAAGGGTTCCCGGATGGGGTGAGACACACATGACCATAACCACAGAACTCACGCTGGAGCAGCACAAGGCTGGGCTCCGATCCCTGCTGTCAGATTCTGACTTTGTCCTGTGATCTTGCCATCATTAGTTAACCTCTTTGAACCTCAGTCTTTTCATAGCCAGGCTTAGTGGCACACGCCTTTAATCCTAGCACTCAGAAGGCAGAGACAAGAGGACCTCTCTCAGATCAAAGACAGCCTGGTCTATGTAGCAAAATCCAGGACATCCAGGACTACATAGACCCTGTCTCAGACCCCCTCCCAAAAACAAACAAACAAATCCAGAATGTTCGAAAGTTTGAACCCGGTACAAGTTTAGACCCCAGCCACAGCAATTCTCCCTAAATTATAACCAGTCCCATTGTTATCAAGTGTTAATTGTTTCCTACTTTTCTTTTTGAGACAGGGTCTCACTATGTTGGCTATACTGGAATTTGCTATGTAGACCAGGCTGGCCTCGAACTCATAAGACATCTGTCTGCCTCTGCCTACCAAGTGCTGTTTTCTACTTTTCATAACACTGTCACAAATATCCGAGTGAGACTCTGAAAGTCTTGAACAAGACTCTCAAATGATAGGACACACCTGTAATCCCAGGACAGGCCTGTAATCCCAGCTACTTTAGAAACAAAAGCAAAATCAAGGCCAGCCTGGGCTATGACGTGAAACCTAATCTCCAAAACAAAAAGTTCTGAATGAAGTAATTCCTTTCAACCACAGAATACCTCATGTACTGTGAGACTGTGTTGGGGCTGGAGGCAAGGGGACAAGTAACTAAGAAAGGAGGTCCTCAATTCGTGAGAACTTTACCTGGGTAACGATGTGCCTAGGAATGCAGGGATAACAGGTGATTCCGCCAGGCCTTCCGCCAGGCCTTCCGCCAGGCCTTCCGCCAGGCCTCTAGGTGCAAGTGCAGGGCTCTGTTCACGTCCTCCAGTGCCACTCAAGAGCTTCTCCACACCGTGTCTTCTAGCATCCCTCTCATTAGCAGAGTCTCATTTCACGTTATATCATCAAGACCAGAAAGAGTTTGGGAAGGAACACCACAGAATCTTGAATATAATCTCAAGTCACTTTAAAACTCCCATGGAAGAGCACATCAGTACAGAGTTCCAGGCTTTTCACACTGATCTTTATTTTTAACTGGGGGATTTAAAGGTGACAAAGAACTTAATGAACAGACAGGACAAAGGGAGCTGACTGGCCATGGCTCATTAGTTCCTGAAATTAATGCTTCTCATGGGGACAACAGTCAGCTAAAGGACAGCACTCCGGGCAAACTAGAAACTGTTCCTCCAGCCCATGAGCCCAGTTCATGGGTTATCACCAGGACTCCGTGCCTACTGGATGCTCCAAAGCTCTACCCCAGAGCCACCTACAATTAACTGTTCACTCTACCACTTGAGAACATCAGCTGTTATGGGGGCTCACTGGATGCCAAGCACATGAGTGGCCTCATTTAACCCTCCTAACTTCCGGTAAATAATGTACTACCATCATCTATCTAAGCTAAGACCGCTGACAGTAAGACACACCAGTGCTTTATACACCAAAACACATTTCATATGCCACTGTAAGACTCCATAAGTCTTTAGATGATTGTTGTTAGGGATGAGAAGACAATACAGATTGCACTGCTTGGTATTGCAACACCATGAATACTGTGTCTACAGATGAAGAGACTGAAGTACAGAGACAGCAGTTCCCCCAAGGTTGCAGAGCTGGAGAGTAGACGCACTGAGATGAATTCCCAGGCAGCCTGTCCATCTTTCTCCAGAGTTCCTAAGGATCTCCCCCACAATGCACCCAGCAGAGAGGTGGGACACAGTTGCTGACTGTTCGCTCCCACAGCACAGGAGCTCACGAGCTGGAGCCGTGTCCGCCCTGTCACACAGACGCCGCTCTAGATCAACTCTCATAAACTCCACCTGGCTCCCAGGAAAAGGAATGTGGTGCGATGGGAAAGCACATCTTGGGATCAAACATCCCTACGTGGAAGGTCCAGCTCTGTCCAGTGAGCTTGTTGCCCTGGTTAAGTCACGGACAATCCTGAGCCCCTTTTCACCTCCATAAAAACAGGTGACCATCCTGCCCCCAGAGGCTGCTGCAAAACAAGACTGGGAAGCCGTGGGTGGCAGAGCTAGACTTGAAAAAACGATCTTTGCAGTGAAGTCAACTTCTGCTCAGGGATAGAATCAAAGAACCCGCCATCCCCTGTGACCTCAACAACTCCTAAGTGGGACCCTTAGAATGTATTAAAGGTCAAACAAGATAAAAGAAATATTTTAATTAATTAATTTTTTTAAGTGCATTAGTGTTTTTGTCATGGGTTTCGGGTCACCTGGAACTGGACAGTTGTGAGCTGCCATGTGGCTGCTGGGAATTGAACCCGGGTCCTCTGGAAGAGCAGTCAGTGCCATCTCTCTAGCCCAAAAAAGAATTCTTGAGGAGGAGAAAAACAAGAAAGGAAAGAAAAACTAGAGGCACCCAGAAGATAAGGGCAGTGTTCTTTAATGCTCTTCCTAGCATACAAGTGAATCGACAGGAGAAAGGCAAAGAGACACCTAAAATCAAAAGACACTCATCAATAGACACAAGGGTGAATTTAATTCATACTGAACCTGACACCGAAACTGGTCTTTGAAGATTCAGTTTGATATCAAAGTAATCCACAGTGGAAGGATTTCTCCCTTTCTCTGTTTTTATTAAGCAACACTCTGTACATTTCTCCCCTTCTTCCTTCAAGAGCCTCAGAGAACAAGAGCTTTTGACTTGGAAGGAGCCCTTCCTCCTCCCCCACCTCTATCATACCCACAAAGCCTCGAAGATTCTAGCATACCACAGACTCACAATACAAAGTTATCAAATAAATACCCTTTCTTGACTCTAGGCAATTTCTTTGTTCATAAAACCCTCCAATTATTCTATCTAAAGTGTAATCAAGCTGGAAATGTGGCTCAGTTGGTGGAGGGCTTGCCTAGCATGCGCCAAGCCCTGGCTTTGATTCCCAGCACCACATAAACCTGGTGTGGTAGTGTAGGCCTGTGATCCCAGCACTCAGGAATTGGTGGCAGAGGGATCAGTTCAATGTCATCCTCAGCTAGGTAACCAGTTTGAGGCCAGTCTGGAATACAGGAGACCTTTTCTCAAAATACATACATACATACATACGTACGTACGTACATGCATGCACATATACATACCACACAGCCTAACCTCTGCCGCTTTTCCTAGCAGCAGACTAAGAACATAATCTCTCATAACATACAGTAGTATGTCTGGTATATGCTGTATCTCTTATCACTCAGCCCAAACCACTCTTTATCTTGAACTTCCTCCTCATCTGTCCTTGGACAACCTGTCAGTGAACTTCATTACCACCATGTTCTGGTCTGAACCGCCTCGTTCATCTTCTCCTCTCCCGTAGATGAATGTGTGCAAGTGCGGTCCCCCAGAGCCCTCCACTAACCCTCTCCAAGTCTTCATGTCCACTCCCAGAGGAGCTCAGGTAGCAAAGACATCAGCAAAACTCTGACTCCATCCTCTCTGCCTCAAAAGGTTCACCTGTTTTGAAGACTCTGAAAGGCACTGAAATCCTTTAAAGGTTGGGAAAAGCTAACAGAAACGGCAGTTTCCCCCGACCAATACAAGATAAGCTTTCCCTGCATGCCATTCCAGTACAAAACTCAAACCCAGACCCTTCCAACTCCCTTCCCCAAGGGTCAAAGTTCACCTGTCCCTCCATTCTTCCTTATTATTTGCCACCTAAAAGCCACTGTTCTTCGAGTTTAATCTGGCTCTTGAGATGTCTGCTCTATATCCTTTGGGGAGAATAATCAAAATATTTGAAAGACTATTCCTCTCAATTGAGCGCTGGGCGATGGTGTCAAGACATTTAGACCTCACACAGGAACAGGGCTCACAACCTGTGTGCTCAAGGATCCCACACTTTTCCTTCAACTCTAAAAAAGTATGTCCTCCTTACATAGTATCTATGAAATCTAATGACAAACTGCTCCTTAGCTCTGGAAAAAAAAGAGCGAGGGTGTTTGACAGACTTTGCCCTTAAATTTGATGCCGTGTAACCATAACAACTGATGGTTTAGGTAACCATCAACCCACTGAGGGGCTAAGTTCTCCAAAAAATCCTTCTCAGTGGGGGTTAAACTCCCCTGCACTAACTCCCGCGCGGAGTCGGCGCTCCGGAGTGGCGTGTGGTGCAATGGAGCCGGCGGTTCCTGTCCCCGCTACGGTCCCCGGGTCTCCGCCGCCACCATCATCCCCGAGCTCCCAGCGGGGCTGCTGGCTTTAGGCCTCAGCCCAATGTCACTTGTTAACCTTCCGATCTCCCCGGGTTTTGGTGCGCCTCCGCCTCCCTTCTAAAGCACACAAATCATCCCCTCGGTCCCTGGCGTCCGCCAGGAGTTGCAGAAAAACAAGCGAGGCGCCGACAGCCGCTGACAGATTCGCGCAAAAGTAACCGCGCTTCTCCACTCCCAAGCTTCTCCCACGGTGGCCGAGGGGGCGGCGGGAAGCCGAGGCCCCACGCACAGAAGTGACAAGTGTGTTTTTCTTCAGCGAGCGTGTGGATGCTGCTTCCCGGGACCTACACGGAGCCGTGGGGGGACGCTGGACTGGGACCCCCAGGCTGCACCTCTAGCCCCGGGGCGACCCCGCCCCGCCCGGCCACCAAGCAGGAAAGGGATCTCCCAGGGCCACCCGTGCCGGCGTCCCGAGCCCCAGCAGCGTGGAAGAGGCTGAACTGAGCCCCGCTGCGCCAACGGCTGCGGGAGCTGCGGGTACCCCGGCGCCGGGCCACCCCAGCCCGGGGCCTGCTCCGCCCGACGCTCCCTGCGCCGCCCCACCTGGCCCCGGGCGCGCTCACCCTGGATCCGCTGGCTGCCTCATCCTACTGCGCCGGCGCCCGTGCTCCGCGGCCGCCGCGGCTCCGGCTCGGGCTCTGGCTGGGGCCGCCGTGCTGCCGCCCGCCCGCCCCCGGGCACCGGCCGCCCCGCCCCGCCGGCGGACCCGCCCCGCGGCCGCGGCCCCCACCACCAACCACAGGGCGGAGGGGGCGGAGCCAGCCGCGCACCAGACACGACCAATCCAGCCTGTGCCGCGCGCCTGCGAGAGGCCGCGGGGATCGGCCGGCGACTGGTCAGGGCTGTTAAAGGAGCTGCGGCGCTTTGGACAAGAGGGAAGGGGCAGCCCCGCGGTACTGCGCGTTACCTGGCCGAGTCCCAAGGGGCGGAGCAAAGAGTTTCTCTCTCCCAATGAGGGCTGAGGCGCTTACCCCAGTTTTTTCTTCATTACTTAATTTCCTCTTCCCTGCAATTTAGCAACAAGTGCCTCCAACTGGGAGGGAAACCGAGGTTACAAAAAAATCTGGAGCTCTCTGGCTAGGCAGATTCTTACGAACTGGGGTCTTAGGAGGTGATCGGACACATCTGTCCCTGTCCTGCCAATTCCAGAAACTGGATTAAAAAGGCAATTTCCGAGCTCCTCCTCCTCCTCCTCCTCCTCCTCCTCCTCCTCCTCCTCCACACCTGACCATAACAACCAATCCGAAACTGATAAGTAGAATTAGCGCCTAGAACTCGTGTGACGTAAATAAATCATATCATATTATAATCTTGGATTTTTTGATACAGGGTCTCCTGTAGACCAGACTGATTTCAGATTTGATATGTAGCCAAAGATAGCTTTGAACTCTTAGCTTCCTGCCTCGGCCTCCCAGGGCTGGGACTGTAGGCAAACATCACCACACCTGAATAACATAAATTTACCTTAGAGAGAAGGTGTCTGCGGGCGGGAAGCGGAAAATTACTTTCAAGATGCGTTTTCACTTAAAATGACTTTCTTGGGATGGTGAGGAATATTTTACATTTACCAGTTACTTACAGGGTAGAGGGGAGGAGTGGGGGGCACCAAGGCAGGCAGGATGCTGCCTGTTGGCAGATTGGGACAGAACCCTCTGCTTACCCACTTTGCCTTCTAAATGAGTGGGTCCCACACTTCAGCATCAAACCATCCCAGAGGCTTTTAGCATGCAGATTCCTAAGTCTCACACAAAGTCTCTAATTCGCTATCACTGAATGGGTCTGTGACATTTCAACACTCTTTCCCCAGGAGATTCCGCTAGGGAGGACTCGGAGGGCCATCCTCTTTTGAGTCTATCATAGCTGTGACATCAAAGTTCAACTGCCAAAGTAAAGCTAGACTCTTCTTTATGATCCAAATCCATAGCATGTCTGGGAGACTTGCTAGTTAGTACATCTAGAGATCACAAACTCAAACCAGTGGGTTCCCTGCGTGGGACACAGCAAGGGCTGAATTTAGAAGGGCCCTCGAAGCAACAGATAGATGACAACTTGAACTCCTGCTGGAGGAAAGAGCAAGGCACTCAAGGAAGTCAGCCTTGTTCTCTGACCAGTGAGACAATGCATAAACATTTGAATGGCACAAACGCTTTCGTCAACACTCATCACTACTACCAGTCATAACTCCAGAAGGATACCCTGCCCCCTTGGTGTCACATTCCAATGTCATCATCAAGCCCTACTGCCTACCCTCCTGGCCAAATTCCTTTTCAGGCCCTAGTGTCCCAGACACCTGTGTGACCCAGAAGTCACTGCCCTGGATTTGGAGGTCAGCCCTTGTATAGTCAAGTTTCACTACAGGAATAGAATGGAGGGCACGAATACATAAAACAAAGGGGACTTATTAGATTGACTTACACGATACAGTCTGTCTTCACACTAGAGAGGCCGAGAATAAGAGAGCCGCTCGGGCCCTGAGGCTGGAGGAATCAATAGCCCTCTCTTTCATCAAAGGGCTGGAGGGTTACTGGGGAGACACTAGTCTTCAGTCCATGTTGAAAGTCCAAAGAAGCAGGGTTCTGACGTCAGCGAAACATCCTGGCAACAGCAGTAGCGTTCACCATCAAGAAGCAAAGACAGGCAGGCAAAAAAAGCACAAACTCTCCTCTCAGACCTCCTCAGAGCCTCTGCAGAAGGTTCCACACAACTAGCCTAATCAAGAAAACCCCCCATAGGTGTGCATGAAGCACTCCCAGCTGGTCCTAGAGCCAGTCAACTTGACAGCCAAGATTAACCATTAGAGCTCTCTTCCTTTTGGGCTGACGAGCACTGTGTTTAATGGGCATGTCAGCACATGGGTCAGCCTCATCAGGGTTACAGACCTATCTGCCTGGAATTACTGTTTGCCTCCCTTAGTCTTCTCAAAAGCAAATGAATTATTGCTGGGTGTAATGATCCCTCGTGGAGCTTGGAATCCCAGCACTGGGAAGGCTGAAGCTGAAGGCTTGCCCTGGGTTTGAGGCCAGCTGGGAGAAGACAGAAGCAAGGAGGAAAAAGAGGAAGAGGGAGAAGGAAGAGAGAGAGAAAATGTTATCATCTTGATAGGAGAGGGATCTAATCATTAGTACCTGTATGATGGAGCCAAGGTGCCACCATCTTGTCCCTGTTGCAGCCATCTAAGAGCTGACTTAGAGCTGACAGCCCTCCCATCCTCCCACCACCCCACCTCCCCGCCACCCAACACCTCTTCCTGTAGGAAAGTCTCTTAGAAAATTACCAAACTCTGCCCCAGGGAACTTGAGGTCAAGATGCCCCAGCTAACTGCCACTTTTTGCTTCTGTATAACTGCTTGCTTGCTCTGTTTCCTCCTGCGACTGCCAACCAGGATATGGTTTGGTTTTGTGTTTTGTTTTGTTTTGTTTTCCTTTAAAAGCTCCCTGCAGAAACCAGTCAGAGCTGCTCTGTGAGAACTGTTTCTCCAGGCAGCTGATTCTCAAATTCAGACCAGTGTTCCTTGGGGTCTTTGCCCCGTGAGGCCTGGAACCACTGGGCAAGCATGGATATCAGTGGTGACACAGCTTTAAGCTCTTCTTGGCCGCATATCCAAACTGTCACCCCAGGAGTGGGGAGGGGACAGAGAAATGGTGACCACCTCCCTCCTTGCCCATACCTAGCCTTCTACAAATATACTTTTCAATTTATCATCAGCATGACCTCCCACTAAGGACAATAAGGTCTAGCGTGGAAACTTGCAAGAGGCCCTTTTTTAAGAGTGACGATTTTGAGACATCAAGCTGTCTCACGGGTACAGAGGCGCAACATCAAGCCTAACAACAACCTAAGTTCAGTCCCCGGGCCCCCTCTGGTGGAAGAAGAGAACTGACCCTCGAAGGCTGTCCTCAGACACCGAAACACAGACACACCCACACATACACACATGAAATCAATAAATGTAATTTAAAAAGAAAAGAGGCTCAGAATGGAGGCACATCCTTTGATTCTTTCACTCAGGAGGCAGAGGCATGGGGATCTTTGTGAATTTGAGGCCAGCCTGGTCTACAGAGCAAGTTCTGAAGTAAGGCACACCCACCCACCCATCAACTAAGTAAGTGAAAGAAAAAAAAGAAGATTAAAGAATTTGCATGCTTTGAAAATATGAACAAGTAATAACTTATCGCCGATGCTTCCTCCTAAGAGGCCACTACGCTCCAGTCATCATACCAAACCCCCGGCACATGGGAACTCATTGAAACTGTATAGTAACCTGCCGTGGTAGATGTGATTGTCTCCAGCGTACAGGTGTAGAAACTCAAACTCACAGAGGACCAGTGGTGTGTCTAGGACAGGGATAGCTGGTTAAAGAGCCAGCACTCCTGACCCTAAAGACGAGGCTCCTCCTGATCGTTCTGCTACAGGGCCTGACACCTCTTGCTGCCAGACACAGCATAACTTCACAAGGCAAGAAGCAAACAGCACTAATCTGTGCCAAAAGGAAATACAATACAGGAGCACAGCTTTGGAGCTTAAGTCCAGTTACCATCTGCCTGCCCTTGACTCCAACAGTTATATAATTAAACGCTGACTACCAGACTGCTCATCTATAAAATGGAAATAATTTTTTTTGAGATAGGTTTCCATGTAGCTCAAGCTGGCTTCAAATTCACTATATAGCCAAGGATAATCTTGAACTCATTCTCCTGCCTCTACCTCATGAGTACTAGGATTATAGGTGTGTACCACCATGCTCAATGTATACATTGCTGGGAACTGAACCAGGAATTTATACATGCTAAGAAAACACCCTACCAACTGGGCTATTCTCCCCCTCCATCCCTGGAACTAACAAATTCTGCCTCTTTGGGCTTGCACAAAGATCACATTAACTAAAGACCATATGTGACTATACAGATGGCCCCAACTCAGGATGGTTCAGCTGATGACTTTTATAACCAATTTTTGAGGGGTACATATGTGCCACTGCATGCATGTGGAGGTCAGAGGACAACTTGTGGGAGTCAGTTTCCTCCTTCCATCACGTGGGTGACGTGGATCGAACTCAGGTCATCAGGCTAGTGGCAAGCACCCTTACTCATGAGTCATCTCTCTGGCCCCCACTGATGAGTTCTAAATGTTCTGATAGGATAAATGTGAAAGGCATTTAATAGAAACTATGCTTCACATGTTGATATTTTCTCACATTGTCAGTACGGGGCATGGTACTTTCTCAATGCTGGGCAATGGCGGTGAGTAACAGCTCCCACTTAACCATATGACTGTGAGCGGAAATGGCCACTACTCCACAGCATGCCCTGAGACTAAACTCTGAAGACTGGTAGGTGAGATGTACTTAATGCATTTTTGTTTGATTGGTTTACTTCTGACGTAACCTCATCCATAGGTCAAGGAGTATAGAGACATGTGTTTTGAACTTACAAATGAAGAGGATTTTATGCAGGTCAGGGGCTGGGATGCTAAATTTACATATCAACTAAGGTTCCTTTCTTTATATCCACATCCTAGATGTTCTAGATGCATAGCGTGTACAGAGTGAGCTCACAAGGTCTCCTGACAAGGTCTCCTCACAGTAGAATTTTTTTTAAACCACATTTTTGTTTATTTTGTGTGCACATGTGTATGTACATAGGCATCTTCATGCCTGGATGATATGTGGAGGTCAAAGGA